ACACACACACACACACACACACACACACACACACACACACACACACACACGGAGAGAGAGAGCTACCTCCGGTTTTCCATGTACAGCCCTGCCCTCTTGTGGCGGTGGTCCACTTTTACAAGCGACACCGGAGGCACATCATTCGTTTAGGGCTGGAAAGTGCAGCTATGACCAGAGTAAGTTGGGTGTTGACAGTGGACATAGACCGTATTTGTTTCAGTTGTTAACTACATCTCTACAAAGGGTGAGTAGTGCTGTGCAGCCGTCGTAGAAATAGGATGACTGCTTGCGGCTCCGACTTAGTCACATGGTGTTTGAATGGTCAGTCGTGGAAGCCTCATTATTAGTGTATACGAGCAGACGTGTTTTAACCAGGAGCCTGCTGTCAGTGTGTGGCCACACTTTCACTGCTGACACTGGGGATTCCCATGTCAGCATGCCTCACAAGAGCAAAAAAGAAAAGGTAAAGTGGACTTGGATAGGAATGCTGAATATTTGTATTCATGTATCTGTTTCTTTCTTTCTTTCTTTTTATTAATTCCCATGCTCACTCTTTAGGACTCCTCCAAATCTGGAAGATCCAAGAAATCTGGGAGTAAAAATGGGCCTGCAGGCGACCAGGACGTAAGTTTTTTTAAACTTCTCACTGTCCAGCGAGGATCTGCATTGAACTCTAAGTACTAAAGTTAAGGTTACTGAGCATTTGTTACTACATGGACCTAATGTCTGTAGGCCAAAACTTATATTTTCTCTGATACTTTTACTTATTGTTTATTTATGCAATTCTTTGTACTAATTGTGTTCAAATGCTTTACCAGCATTAATAAGTGACAAAGAGGAGGTTTTCTGTTGATTTATGAGTTTTCAGACGTCATGCATATCATATGCATCATGAGCACATATTATAACGCTATCTTGACTACAACTGCTTTTACTGCTTTCTGTGAGCGTTGCATTTGTGTTCTTCAAGTATAATGGCTTTTTGTCCTTGTGAAATTCAGGCAAACCTACTCATGTGACCTGTGGCATGATCTTATGACTTTATTTTCTTTGGAAAATGCTTGCATTCAATCCCTATTTTTACCCCCACTGTGCCCTGTTTGACTTCTGCATGTAATACCAGCCATCGTCGTGGCTATTTTTGTCCTTGTCATTTGTACATCGGTGATGTTGAGTGGAGTTCGGAAAAGATCTGATTGATTGACTCCTGGACCTGCTGTGTGTTCCCATTGACAGCTGTATCCTTTCCATCTATGTTCAATTATTCTATCCACTGAGGTCCATCACAATCTCTGTCAGCAGATGCAGTACAGCACACCGCCGGCTGTGATCAGGTTGCTTAATTGAGAATCGCCCGATCTGATTCAGAAAGGAACTTGAGCCTTAACTGCAACACCCTCGCCCCTTCTACTCCCTCTCCCCCTCCCCCTCCCTTGGACTCTGCAGTGACACTTGAGAAAAATTATTCCTGTGCCATTTCCTTCGGGGCAGGAACTACCTTTCCCTACCTTGCTCTAGTAACAAGAGCCCTTCCTCTATGACTCTTATTTCTGCAGGGCTCCAATAAGACAGTGCCTCCTGCAACTCAGCTGATGAGGGTAAAGCAGCCAGGGTCACAATCGGCCGTCAAGAGGGAGAAGAGGTTCAGCACTTCCTTTTTCCCCCTCAGTGCTAACAGAGAACTACACAAGCTACCCGAGCTAGCCGGTATGCCTCCTTCAGTATACAGTATCCCAAAAAGGAGCTGTCTTTCTTTTCTTCCTGTCTTCTACAAATGCAGCTCAACTACAGTTCGCTTATATGCAGAGATAAGCTACACTTCTTCTGGAAAACACAAGCTGACCTTTATCTTAGATTGCATGTTTGGCCATTATGGATGAAGGGAATCATATTAACAATTCATAGCCTTGGTGGATCCTCATAACCATCTTTTTAACCTTGAGGTCTCACTACATAATTTATATCTAAGCAGACTGCCCATCAGCTTTATCTGTAATGCAAATGATGTGCAATCAGCTGTATCTGCAATCGTACCTGGAAGAAACAGATATTACCCACCATGGAGGGCTCATGTAAGATAACACTGAACGAATGGACTGAAAGAATCTTTGAATCTGGGCCACTGGATAACAATAAAAAAAAGAAAGCTCCAAATCAAACATTTAACGTAAGCTTGAGCATGGCCCGTAATGTTAATCGTGTCAGATAAACAATGTTGCATAAGCTAATGTTATAACACAGCCCGGCCAAGCCATGTGGATAACTGCGATGGGAGACTTGTACTTGTTTCAGTGTCAGTTTAGTATTAATATTAAACAAACCAGCAAACAGACACCTGTAATTATAGCAAGCATGTTCCACTGTCAGTTTGCCAATTTACAGCATTGACTGATTCAGTTGGTACATACTGCACGGATGCTGACTCTGAATTAGGTTGAGGTTTGAACATTTGCATCAATCTTTCATGGCTTCTTTCTTTACACCCCACATTACAGACAGGATTTGGCCTAAGTGGTTTCCTGTAAACTATACCCAGCTATGCTTTGTTCTCATACCTGGATGAGGTGGGTGACACTACAAAGGAACAATAGAGGCGTGCAGCACAGACAGGGGTGGAGTGAGACACGCACACGGTTGGCAGAGTGTGGCAGTTTATCTAATGATAATTTGAAAAGTAATAATTAGCTTTGTGTTTCTGTTACTGAATGTTCTCTTGAACCCTGCAGTGAGGTGATCTGATGGCTGCAAATCAATAAAGCTGTCTGATGACTGTGAAAATTACATAAGTCATATTGATGGCACTGAATACACATTGGACATGTATTGGGAGTTTTTTAATAATAATGATAATAATAATAATAATAATAATAATAATAATAATAATAATAATAATAGAAGAAGAAGAAGAATACATTTAATGGGATTATACAATTAAAACAGCAAACCTGAAATATACCATGACAGAGCATAGCTTAGCAGTTAGTTAAAAGTAGTATTTAAAGTTGTATCATAAATAATTTAAATATAACAAACAGAATATGGCTAAGGCTAATATGGCTATGGTTTCAATCAAAGTGAATAAACTTGTTTAAAAAGTTTGAAGAGCAGTCTTAAATTATATCAATGAGTCCAGCGCATGAATGTGAGGAGGTAGAGAGTTCCACATGTAGCTTAAAGAAATGGCCTGAACACCCACGTTTCTGAGATTTAATGAGAGTTCTTACAAATAAACCTGCTCGTGAAAACCAGATCAGTGACATCTGCAGGGCAGAGACTAAAGAACTTTAAATGTTAACGTGAATATTAATGGAAATGCTAAAAGATATATGTACATGTTACACCTTGACTTACCGGTACATGAACTTGATTGTGATTATTATTGTTCACTTTTTCATTGCAGATTTTTTAAACCAAGTTATTAATCAATGAATGAAAAAAATAAGTGAGTAGCACCCACACACTTTATTAATTACTGACTTACTCTGAGCAGGAGCTCACTGTGAAGGTCTTTCATTAGGACAATGTGCAGGAGCTTAGCCGAGGTTAGGTTGATATTCTTCACTGTTATTGGAAAGTATTTAAATGTTTTCTTCTATATTACTATATTATGAGATATGCTCCAAGATTACACTGAATCCCAATAAATTCACACAGTAATCAAATACATAAAAATAGACAGCTACAAACTACAGACAAAACTACTTTAGTCCTGTATGTATTTTGTTTGTGTGTGTATGCTTTTGAGAGTAATGAAAAGTGAAACATGTTACAAGTCTACAAAGGTCATGCATGTGTTAGAGCTGCTGCATATATGAAAGTTTTTGTCTGTTTCTTTCTTACATGGAGTGCAACCGTGGGTTCACATGGTCTCATTTGGTGAGATGGACACAATCTTGTCAGTAGGACAACGTTGCATGTTTAATGAAGGCGAGTAAACAGCAAGTTGCTCCAGGTGTTAGTAAAACATTTAGTAGTAGCTTTGTGTTTCAGAAGCCTCTTGCACAGATGGCCCAGTCTGTGCTGCCACCTTTTGACTGAAAATGAAAGAGCTGTTATTTTGGGAGCTGTAATGTTGAGATTTTTCATTGAATTCTAGCATAATCTCAAGTCTTACTGCCCTATGGCTGACTGTACATTGAGAATAAGACAAGTAGCATTATTCAAATAGATTTCTTTTTCAACAAACGAATTACTTTTTGTATGACTTCACTGGACTTGTGACTCTAAAAAGGTGTAAATAGTATATCTGTTGAGTAAAAGACAATTTTTGTATGTGTGTCACCAAGTGCAACAATATGGCTTACTGTTGTGTTTTTAACACTTTTGTACAACAGTGGAGGAAGTAGGGGGGAGGCATAATGTATAATTGACCCATCAGACATGTTAATAGGATAAATTGTGCTGTGGGTTTTGAGTGGGAGTTTTAACAGTGAACTAATACGCTAGATCTCAGAAACCAGAAGTATTTCCCATAGAGTAACAGTGGTATTTGAAGCTTTTGAGTATGTCCAATTTGCAAGAAGTAAGTGGCAGCTTTCAGTAAATACTGGTTCCCGTTGTCATGGCTGTGGAATGTAATGGCACCTCTTGGAGAGGCTTTGGCCCCTGAGAGAGAGAACAACAAGAATAAAAACTGCAATACACTTGGCCTGCCTCGCCTCTGCCTTTGCTTTAATTGCTTAATATGTTCCTCTGTGTCACTGGGTGCTTCTTTTCAATGAGTTTTAATTCACACTGTAATGAGGTGCAGAGAACCCAAAGCAAACTTACTGTTGTACCTGCTAATGCAGAAATTACTTGCCAAGAGAAATTTTTACCTATTAAAATAATGAAGACATTTATTTTTCAGTTATAAGTGAAGCAATATACAGTGTTGTGCAAAACTGTTGAGGCATATATTTTGCTAGAAAAATGAGAAAAAGGTGTCGCGATTGATTGAAATATGTGCAAACATACATGGAATTTCAGTACATAAGGCAAATACAGAGTTTGTACAATTCTATTAAACTTGAAAGTGAATATTTGGTGTGACCACCTTTATTCTTCAACGCAGCCTGAACTCTCTTAGGCAGCTTTCTTGTCGTTTCTTAAAGTAGTCTTCAGGAATTGTTCTGCAGGCTTCTTGAAGGACTTTCAAAGCTCTTCTTTGAATGTTGGCTGCCTTTTGTTCGGTTCTCTGCCAAGATGATCCCACACTGCTTCATTAATGTTAAGGTTCAGGCTCTGAGGAGGACAGTTCATGACTGATAATGTACCATTGTGTGCTTTTACTGCACTGAGAGTGTGTTTGTCAGATTAAGAAATTAGACTGTTGCCACTCAGACGCTTCCAACATCACTGGCTGGCATGCAGCCCCAAACCATGACAGAGCCTGAATGCATATTAACAATAATTTGAACCAAAAATGTCAAATTTCATCACTGTTGCCACTCATTTTGAGTCCAGTTCTTGTGTAATTTGGTGTACCTCTGCCTTTTCTCCTTGTTCTTTTCCTTAAGAATGGCTTATTGACAGCCTCCCTTCCACTAAGACCATTCCTAATCAAGCTTTAGGGAACAGTAAATGGATCAACTAAAGAACCAGATGCATTTATCCCATCTTGTGTCAGGCCTTTGCTTCATCTACTGTAGACAGTTTTTAAGCCATTTTGCTTCTGTGATCCATTTATTCAATTTCCTCAAATTTTTTAAGGACACATTGCACAGCCTTGCGAGATATGCCAAAGATAAGATAAGATAACCTTTATTAGTCCCACATGTGGGAAATTTGTTTTGTCACAGCAGGAAGTGGACAGTGCAAAAGTTATGAAGCAAAAATTAGAATACAATAAGAATAAATACAGTACACAACTGTACAGAATAGAATAAAATAAAATACTATACACAGTAGAATAAAATAGAATAAAATATACAATAAGATAAAAATAGAATACAAATGCTATATACAACTGAGTAAAAATACAACGATGCCAGAGAAGATTATTGCACTTAGTGTTATTGCACATGTGTGGATGTGTGTGTTTGATCAGTTGGAGTCTTTGTTGTGGAGTCTGACAGCAGTGGGGAGGAAAGACCTGCGAAATCTCTCCGTCCCACACCCTGGGTGCCGCAGTCTCCCACTGAAGGAGCTGCTCAGTGCTGTCACAGTCTGCTGCATGGGGTGGGAGATGTTGTCCAACAGTGATGACAGCTTAGCCGCCATTCTCCTGTCACTCACCACCTCCACTGGGTCCAGAGGGCATCCTAGAACAGAGCTGGCCCTTCGGATCAGCCTGTTCAGTCTCTTCTTGTCCCCGGCAGAGATGACCAGAGACCACACCGTAAAAGATAGCTGAGGCCACCACAGAGTCATAGAAGGTCTTCAGGAGTGGGCCCTCCACTCCAAACGACCTGAGTCTCCGCAGCAAGTACAGCCTGCTCTGCCCTTTCCTGTAGAGGGCGTCTGAGTTATGAGTCCAGTCCAGTCTGTTGTTCAGATGAACACCAAGGTACCTGTAGCTGTCCACAGCCTCGATGTCCATACCTTGGATATTCAGTGGTTGCAGTGGAGGATGTTTGTGCCTGCGGAAGTCTACCACCAGCTCCTTGGTTTTACTGGCGTTGATCTGGAGGTAGTTCAGCTGGCACCAGTCCACAAAGTCTTGGGTCAGTCCTCTGTACTCCTTGTCGTCCCCATCAGTGATGAGGCCGACTATTGCAGAGTCATCA